ATTCTAATACTATATAGTGGTTCGATGGTTCTATTTCCTGGGAATCTATTATCCTTCAGTCAACACAATTCTTATTTAACTCATGTCATTTAGGTAGATCTAATCAATCTATTCATTAATTAAGGTAGATAAAATTCATTAATTCATCCATTCATCCTGGTAGATCTAATCCATCTATTCATTAATTAAGGTAGATAAAATTAATTAATTCATCTATTCACCCTGGTAGATCTATTCCATTCAATCATTCATTAAGGTAGATAAAATTCATTAATTCATTAATTCATCTATTCACCCTGGGAGATCTAATCCATCCATCCTTTAATTCACCCTTCCTTTCTTTAATTAATTAATTAATTTATTAATAATTTACTGAAACCTTTTACAATCAAAAACACATCTTTCCCTCTTTACTGTTTTTATCCTACCATTTAGCTGATACTTAAATACAAATCAATCAATCAATCAATCAATCAATCTTAATCAATTCCAGAAGAATCCATTATGTAGGCGTAGAATCGATTCTACAAAATCAGGGTCAAATAATGATGTAGTGTACTGCAGTGTACAGCTGTGTACTGCACCAACCTGTAGTTCTGTAGTACTGTAGTTTATGTAGTGTACTGCAGTGTACAGCTGTGTACTGCACCAACCTGTAGTACTGTAGTACTTTAGTTTATGTAGTGTACTGCAGTGAACAGCTGTGTACTGCACCAACCTGTAGTTCGGGGGAGGAAGCTGGAAGACGACCTCCCGAAGTTTGACGAGCCGAAGATCGTCCGCCGATTTTGCCGCATCGACGAACTGGTCGTACAGGTGGAAGGTGCACACGGGGTTGGGCAGTTCACGGAAATACATCTTCAGAAGGGAGGAGACAGAATGGATATCCTAGATAGATAGATATATAAATATCTAGATAGATAGATAGATAGGTAAATAGATAGATAAGATAAAAATATATATAAGATATATAGATAGAAATAAATATAATCGTTTAAAACAATACTTCGAATAACCGCTTGTGTATGACCAAAATTGTTATTAAAATAAAATGAAAGTAAAATATAAAATGAGTAATTAAAAACACTAATATCATAGATGTACATTGTACACAAATAGATAGATATTTTGATAGAAATATATAGATAGATAGATTATAAAGATAGATTGAAATATGATAAAGAAAACTAAAAGTTCAAGTTTGTGCAAATCCCTCAAAAAGCTAGGGTTAAGGAAAATAATAAAATTTTTCTAGGAAAATACATAAATGGAAAAACAAATTGGCAAGCAAAATATCAACGCAATAACAGATAGATATATGAATATTTAGAGATTTTGCATAAATGTCGATATAGATAGATAGATAGAGATAGATAAATAGCTAAATAGATATATAGCTAGACTGCTATCAATCTATCTATCTAGATAAATATATAGATAGATAGATATTTAGAAAGATAGATAGATAGATAGATAAATAGATAGATAAATAGATAGATAGATAGATATATAGATAAATAGATAGATATATATATAGATAGATAGATATATATAGAGAAATAGATAGATATATAGGTTGGGAACACTATAGATAAATAGATAGATAGATAGATAGATAGATAGAAAGATAGACAGATAGATAGATAGATAGAAGGATAGATAGATAGATAGATAAACAGATGGATAGATTTCTACCTGTAGAATTAGTTTGTCCTCATATAGGTTTGGAACTCTGTAGATAAATAGATAAATAGAAAGATAGATAGAAGGATAGATAGATAGAAGGATAGATAGATAGATAAATTGATGGATAGATATCTACCTGTAGAACTAGTTTGTCCTCATATAGGTTTGGAACTCTATCCTCGTCGAATGCTACCCTCAACCGTTGAATATTCGACGAAATTCCTAAAAAAAAATTAAAATTAAAAATAGAAAAAAATTCATTTTCAGTGAATGAACGTAGACGAATAAAAAATCTATTAAAACACTTGAAATTAAAATTTAAATCTAAAATAAAATCTAAAAAAGCATAATTTGTGGAAACGAAAAAATCTCACAATTCAATGATTTTTTTACAGTTTCTCGTTTTACCAGGGGAATCAATTTTGAAAAAGTACCCCTGCCATGGAATAATGATCTTCAAAGATAAGGAATTGAGTTTACACCATCAGATTTCAAAGAGATAGGGATTATAATAATTGAGTTTGTGGCAAAGACTCAATTTCTTTAAAATTATCAGGCATTTACTCTCTCCCTTTTATACTTTTTACCCAGACACTCATCAAAATGATATTATCAACGACACATATTCCAAATCCTGCATTTACCTTAAACAAATTACACTCCAATAAAAACTTTTCCAATCCCAACCGGTTGGAACTGTTTAAAGTATATTGTAAAGCATAAATATTATTTATTTTCTGAGCTGTGCTGCAATATCTTGTCCGACCCAATTTGTTTAATACCTTCCAGATACATAAAATAAGCTTTCTACCCCTCCCCTTCACTACGGGTTGTATGTTTAAAACAAGAATATGAATGGTATAATACCTTCAAGAAACATTAAATAAGTTTTATACCCCTCCCCTTCACTAGGGGTTGTATGTTTAAAACAAGAAAATGGATGGTATAATACCTCTCAGAAACATAAAATAAGCTTTCTACCCTTCTCCTTCACTACGGGTTGTATGTTTAAAACAAGAAAATCAGACATGCAACTCTTAAAACCATGTCGACAGTCATTTAGAAGTTTCCAGCTCTGCCCTACTTGGATAAATATTTTTAGACAATCAAATTGTAGTGAAGTCTCTTTAGACAATGAACCTGTAGTGAAATCTTTTTAGACAATCAACCTGTAGTGAAATCTTTTTAGTCAATCAACCCGTAGTGAAATCTCTTTAGACAATCAACCTGTATTGAAGTCTCTATAAACAATCAACCTGTAGTGAACTCTCTTTAGACAATCAAACTGTAGTGAACTCTCTTTAGACAATCAACCTGTCGTGAACTCTCTTTAGACAATCAACCTGTAGTGAACTCTCTTTAGACAATCAACCCGTAGTGAAATCTTTTTAGACAATCAACCTGTAGTGAACTCTCTTTCCCTTTCCAGGTGTAATTTCCTTGTAGTATATTCTACAGTAAATATCTTCTCAGGGGTGTATATATTTTTAAGAAAGATTTTTAAAGATCTCTGAGGGAAAAAATATCAAAATTGGATAGAAAAATGCATCCTTTTTGATATTCTTTACCCACAAATTTATTTATTTTCATCGTAAAATCATTTTTTGAAATGATTTTGAAGATTTGGGAAAAAAATTTAAAATGCAAGAGTTTTCATCGTTTTTGATCCTTTTCCCCCCAATTTTTCCCCCATTTAGCAATAAACCCCTAAAACATACCTAACTTCTGAAGAAAAAAATGAATTTGAAGAGGGGGGATTCACAATTAATTTAGAAGATGGGCGCGAAGCGCCCTCTAAGGCTAGTCTATATATAAATTTAGCTTGTCTGGGTGTCTGTTTGTTTGTATCCAATAAATGTCAAAACGGCTGAACCGATCAGGCCCAAATTTTGTGTGGGACCTCACGTGACCCCAAGGAAGGTTTATGAATGATCAAAATTAAAAAATTTGTGTTTAAAAGTTTTTTTATTTTGTAAAATTTTGAAAATGCGCGAAAAAATATTTTGAAATCCGCAAACTTTTTTTGTTTTTGTTTTATACTGTGCAAAGAGAAGATGCTCACAGATAAAGCCACAATTAAAAGTTAAAATAGAAGATGGGCGCGAAGCACCCTAAAAGCCTAGTACTCGTATATCTAAATATGTGTATTAATGACTGTTTGATTGGATAGCCGATCATAAACCCTGGACTGATTTGCCTCAAATTTTGATTGGGGAACTCGGAAGAACCGTAGGAGTATTATTAGAATAATTAAAAATTCTAAATTTAAAAAGCTGATTTTCATAGAGTAAGTTAAGTTTCAGGCAAAGCTAAGTTTCCAAGTTAATTCTCAAATGTGAAAATTGACCATGTCTTTAAAACGATACCAACCCCCCTATCCCCCCCCCCACAAAAAAAAACATTATAAAAATGACTTATGTTTTCTTAATATCTCTGAATATTTAAAAAGAAAAGCAGTTAAAGTAAGAAAGAATAAACTTAAAACAATTTCTAGTCTGCACTAACTTTCAACATCCATAATATAATTCATACAAACACTCAAAACTATTCTAAAAGGCTCTTTAACCCCCCCCCCCCTCCCCACACTGCTACAGTAAATTCCCTGAATTTAAAGCTAGAAAATGTTTATGTATTTCTAAAACTTGTTTAGGGGACAGTAAAATTCCCCCCCTGGGCTTATATTTCAAGATGTACAACCCCTCAGGGGAAACAAACAAGCAGAGGGGAAATTTATTTGTTGGGTGACATGTTAGGATAGCTAGGGGGAAAAAGGGAAAGGATCGTGGGGGTGGGGGTGGGAGGGGAGTGATAGTTAAAAAAGGTAGGGAAGGATAGAAGGAAAAAATACTTGAAAAAAGAAGGATTGAAGGAAGGGGAGACCAATTCTGTAAAGAGAAGGAAGAAGAGAAGGAAAGAAGGAAGGAAAGAATGCTAGAAAAAAGAAGGATGGAAGGAAGGGGAGACCAATTCGGTAAAGAGAAGGAATTAGAAATGGAAAGAAGGAAGGAGACAATGCTAAAAAAAGAAGGATTGAAGGAAGGGGAGAATGCTAGAAAAAAGAAGATTGAAGGAAAAAAGGTTAGAATATAAACTTGAATTTATGTAGTTTGTAGGTGTATAAGAAGTTACCCCTAGGGTTAGGAAAGGAAAGAATTATGTATAGAAGAAAGCAAGGAAGAAAGGAAGGAAAGGGAGAATGTAAGCTTGAATTTATGTAGTTTGTATGTGAATAAGAAGTTAACCTCGGGTTAGGAAAGGAAAGAATTATGTATAGAAGAAAGAAAGGAAGAAAGGTAGGAGAGAATAGAAGAAAGGAAGGAAAAGGAGAATGTAAGCCTGAATTTATGTAGTTTGTATGTGAATAAGAAGTAACCCCTCGGGTTAGGAAGGGAAGAATTATGTGTAGAGGGAATCCAAATACATATATTTAGCTCAAGCTAAGGTATCTAGGGACTTAAGAAAGCACTAGAGAGAGAATGGAAGAAAATGAAAGGACAAGGGAAGGAAAACTAAAAAGCTAAATGAGTCGTAACGTATCTTTGCAGCCCAATGTCATTGACCTTTGAAATCAGTTTCAGAATGAATTCAGATAAAATAGTCTAATTTTGAAATACGGTGAACACAATCATGCTTCAAAGATATAAAATTTGAAAATTTGAGTTTGTTGCTCAAGACTCAATTCCTTTAAATAACAAACTCAAAAAATTGATTGAACTGAAAAGAGCTTGCTCGTAAATGAAAGGAATGAGATGAAATAATTAAAAGTAAAGCAAAAGTAAAGAAGGTTAAGAAATTGCATATGGATGTTGGAAAACAAATTGATTGTTTGATTTATGCTCGATGCCATAAAAAAGCTATTTAAGATATTAATTTTATGATAAAAATGTGGAGTGTATCTTTATAAAATGCCCTATATTGAACCCTCCCTTCCCCACCCCTCCCGTGAATGTTTAATATTTGCCCTACTTGCCTCCCCCCCCCTCCTCCTCCTCTGTAAATGAATAATATCTGCCCTTTATATACCCCCCTTCTTCCCCTCTCTTTCTTTTATTCTCCTTGCAGGGTTTTTATTATAATTCTATTGAACCCTTTTATTATACCACTTTATTACTCAATTTTTTCCTTTATTATAGTTTATCATAGTATACGTATACCCACACTACCAGCTATATCTATATATAAATTTAGCTTGTCTGTCTGTTTGTTTGTATCCAATAAACGTGAAAACGGTTGAACCGATCGGGCCCAAATTTTTTGTGGGACATCACATGACCACAGGGAAGGTTTATGAATGATCAAAATTTCAAATATTTGTCTCCATCAAAATTCGATCTTCATTAAATTTCTGAAAATTTTGAAAATCCACGAAATTTTTTGTGAAAATCCGCGAATTATTTTTGTTTTGTTTTACGATGTACACAAAGAGAACATGTTCAGAGAGGGGATAATAATGGAGTAGGAGGGGATAATAATGGATGAGAGGGGATAATAATGGAGTAGGAGGGGATAATAATGGATGAGAGGGGATGATATGGAATAGGGGGGATAATAATGGATGAGAGGGGATAATAATGGATGAGAGGGGATAATAATGGATGAGAGAGGATAATAATGAATGAGAGAGGATAATAATGGATGGGGAAGTAATGAACAAGGGGGAGAGTAAAATATATATTTACCTGAAAGTCTATATATTCCATCAACTATTCCAAGTTTCTCAATAAACTCAGAGCAATGGGTCAACACGTTCGGTACTAAAACAATTAGATAGATAAATAGATGGAAAGATAGATAGATAGATTAATAAATAGATAATTAGATAGATGGATAGATAGATAGATAGATAGATAGATAGATAGATAGCTGGATAGATATATGATAGATACATAGATTGATAGATAGATAGATAGATAGATGGATAGGTAGATAGATAGATAGATAGATAGATATTAGATAGATACATAGATTGATAGATAGATAAATAGATACATGAATAGATGGATAAATAGATAAAAGAATAGATAGATAGAAGGGTAGATAAATAGATAGATAAATCTTATATAATTTTAATCATTACTCATCTTTCTAAAAGAGCTAATGAGCAGAACAAAAATGTTTGAATTTCAAATTTCGGACAAGTAAATTCGGAAGTAAAGTCGGAAGTAAAGTCGGAAGTAAAGACGGAAGTAAAGTCGGAGTAAAGTCGGAAGTAAAGACGGAAGTAAAGTCGGAAGTAAAGACGGAAGTAAAGTCGGAAGTAAAGAAGGAAGTAAAGTCGGAAGTAAAGTCGGAAGTACAGACGGAAGTAAAGTCGGAAGTAAAGACGAAAGTAAAGCAGGAAGTAAAGTCGGAAGTAAAGTCGGAAGTAAAGACGGAAGTAAAGTCGGAAGTAAAGTCGGAAGTAAAGACGAAAGTAAAGCAGGAAGTAAAGTCGGAAGTAAAGACGGAAGTAAAGTCGCAAGTAAAGTCGCAAAAATCTCATCTTCTCCATGTGGCTTGTCAAGTTTGTTAACTTCAAAACATCTTTTCTTTTTCTCCTTATTTAAGATTCCAAGAAGGTAGAGACAGAACTTGTTTTCTTTCTGATAGATAGATAGAACTTGTTTTCTTTAGTGTCTTTCAACAAAATTACCGAAGATCCCCAGCTAACAAAACACGGGGTATCAACACATCTCTATCTAACACAATGATTATTTATGAAAATTATGATTTTAAAGTGTCGCAAAGCCTTACTTGAACCTTAACAATACATTTATATTTTTTGTAGCCATGAATACATTTGATTCAAATCATCAAAGCGCTTAAAATTCTAATACTATATAGCCAAATAAAAAAATCCCGGATCCTACAGAACCTAATTTAAGAATCCTAGATCCTACAGAACCTTATTAAAGAATCCTAGATCCTACAGAACCTATAATTAAAGAATCCTATAGATCCTACAGAACCTAATTAAAGAATCCTAGATTCTACAGAACCTAATTAAAGAATCCTATAGATCCTACAGAACCTAATTAAAGAATCCCAGATCATACAGAACCTAATTAAAGAATCCTAGATCCTACAGAACCTAATTAAAGAATCCTGGATCCTACAGAACCTAATAAAAGAATCCTGGATCCAACGGAACCTAATTGAAGAATCCTGGATCATACAGAACCTAATTAAATAGTTTTAGATCCTACAGAACCTAATTAAGAATCCTGGATCCTACAGAACCTAATTAAAGAATTCTAGATCCTACAGAACTTTATTAAAGAATCCTGGATCCTACAGAACCTAATTAAAAAATCCTGGATCCTACAGAACCTAATCAAAGAATGCTAGATCCTACAGAACCTAATTAAAGAATCCTGGATCCTACAGAAACTGATAACAGAAACCTGGATCCATCAGATTAATTAAAGAATCTTAGATCCTACAGAACCTAATAAAAGAATCCTAGATCCTACAGAACCTTATTAAAGAATCCTAGATCATACAGAACCTAATTAAAGAATTCTAGATCTTACAGAACCTAATTAAAGAATCTTAGATCCTACAGAGTCTAATTAAGGAATCCTAGATCCTACAGAATCTAATTAAAGAATCCTAGATCCTATAGAATCTAATTAAAGAATCCTAGATCCCACAGAATCTAATTAAAGAATCCTAGATCCTACAGAACCTAATTAAAGAATCCTGGATCCTACAGAACCCAATTAAAGAATCCTAGATCCTACAGGACATAATTAAAGAATCCTAGATCCTACAGGACATAATTAAAGAATCCTAGATCCTACACGCCCAATTAAAAAATCCTGAAGACTTTACAAAGAATTTGTATGTTTTGACAATGTTAACATAATCCTAGAGCTTACAGGTTTATGCTGGATATTTAAATTTGTTTTTCTTTTAAACATTCATGTTAAACATGTGTTAATGTCATTCCTCATCACCCTTCCCCCCCCCATCTACCCAAAACATTTGAGCCCCTCCTAAAAAACACCACGTTCCTTCCCCTTTCGGAAGGGACTTCAAAAAAAACTCTTTGCCGACAAAAACACTGTTATTTATATTTTTATAGTGGAATAAAAAAATTCATTTTGAAAAAACAATCAAGCTTTATTATATAGATATGCTATAAAAATTTAATTTGCTATAGGCCGGATGTTTAAAACTGTACAGTTACGTTAATAAGTCACAGTATTGGTGTGGGGGTGGGGGGGAAANATTAAAGGGACTAGAGACGTAATGGAGGATTAAAGGGACTAGAGACGTAATTTGAAGTTACTCTGTATTTATAAAGTGGCATGTGTGATGTACGACGGTTTGTCTGGTCAAGAATGAATGAGATATCCATCATAATATCTTTGAAAATTAATCATTTTCAAATGAGGTTTCCATTAAAGTGTCTTGCATATTTATGCTTCTGAAAAAAATTATACATTTTTAAAGTTCATAAAGGTGAAATTGAAGCAAGCTTTTTACCGATGCTAGTAATTGAAATATGTAAAACAAGGTACTTTGCAGTATCTGTAGTTGATTAGTTTTCAAGCATTCCATGCCAAATTAAAAGTTTCTAGGAGCGGTGAATTTATCTTCGAAATTCTGAGAAATTAAAAATAAATTTATTTTTACGCTTTAACCGGAGTTTGTTGTTAGACAATGAATTGAGACTTTTAACAAAGAAACAAATACAAGATTGAAATCCTATAATAATTGCATAGAACAGAATATCATTCTTTTTTCTTCAAAAAGTCATTTTCTTAAAAAATCTAGATTTTTTGGGAAGGGGTGGCGGACGCCAGGTGGCATTTAAAGTTCAAGAAGAGAATATGTTTATTGATTAAATATTGAAATCTAATTGATGTTCCAACCCTTGATCTGGAAATTAAACTATAAATTAGTATATTGCATGATTAGGTTTTGTACTGAGTAATTATTATAAGCAGTGAATAAGAAATTATAAACTATTATACTACTTACACCAGAACTTTCACTATGAAACTTTTTTTTTCAGCTTTTTTTACACCTATAGCTCTGTGTAGCATTTATGATGTAGATTATCCTTAAGTTGGTTAAAAAAAAGTTCCGCCATTAATTTCAATTAATTTCTAAACAGCTTCAGGGAAGGTTCCCTAAGGCCTTTACGGAACGAAATTGCCCCAGAAAAAAATTGAAAACCCTTCTTCAAATTATATAAAAAAAAACATGGAAGACACAAATATCCCTTATAATATATCCTTATGGGAGAAAATGCTGGTTGGCCAAGTTTTCGCTAATTTCCCTTAATTTCATCTTATAGTATTAACGGTAACCGCCAAAAAAGTCCTTGGAAAAAAAGTTTCCGGAAAAAAGTCCTAAAATTTCACACTAAAAAAGTCCTGTGGAAAAAAGTCCTTTTATTAAAAAGTCTCCGGAAATAAAGTCCTACAAATTCGAGACTTTATTTTCTAGGACTTTTTTTCTGCTCCAGTATGATTTTTTACAAAAAAGTCCTCGGAAAAAAGTCCTCTAACAAGTGAAAATGCATGATTCACAGTTCTAGGTTTTTCTTTTCCTCGGATTTATTTTCTTCAGGACTTCTTTTCCTGGGATCTTATTTCCTGAGACTTTATTGGCAGCCCCCATACTATTTTAGGAAAAAAAGTCCCAGGAATCCAAAACACAGGACTTTATTTCCAGTGACATTTTTTCCAAGGACTTGAGAAAATTCGGACTTTTTTTCCAAAGTTTTTATTTCCAGGTTTTTTTTTCACTAAAAGTGTTTTTTTAATATTAACAAAACAGCTAAAATCTTAGAAAAAGAAAAAAAAATTACGCAATTTAGGATTTTTGGAAAAATTGCTAATTTCTTGGGACATATGCTTTAGATGTTCTAGGCTCAAAGTTGTGAATCGGACATGCATGGGCACTTGAAATTAAGTTTCAGCCCCTTAATGCGTAGATCTTGCCTTTATGCGTAGATCTTGGCAATTAAAGTTGAAACAGATTTTATGTAAAACAATTACTTTTTTGAATTTACGACTTTTTATTTGTCCTAGATTCCAGAGCTGGGAACTTTAGAATGGTGAATAACGAGATTAATGCTTAATCCTCTCTTTTTCTTAATATCGAGACTAACCTAATCTTGTACTTGTATCCTGAAAAGTGTTTGAAATTCAACTAATTAGAGTCGCGTATCAGAAGCCGGAAAATTTGAAATTTTGCGCACCATTTAAGATTAATATACAGAAACGGGAAGGACTCTTCATTTTAAAAAAGCGGTTTTGATGTACTTTATCCAAAAAAGAGTGGATTAAGCAAGAAATCAAAAGAAGATATTCGGATTAAGCAGTCGGGATTAACGGTATTACATTCTAAAGTTCCCAGCTCAGGTTAGATAGATAAATAGCTAGATAGATAGGGAAATAGACAGATAGACTAAAAGATAGATTTGAAGATCAGTAGGAAAGTTTTAATGCATTGCTATTGAATACAATATTTATTTTAATTTTTTTTGCATATAAAAAATAATTAATGGATTACTGGATGATAAAATATTTAAATTCGAAATCTTTAAAAAAATAACTCAAATAAAATATACTTTTTTTTCTGTAAATCTGATTTTTTAAAGTTTGATTTTCAAGTCACGCCCAACTAGAGATTTCAGTTATTTCATAAAAATGCATTTTTATGTTCTGCAGTAACTATGATGTAAGGGCAAAGTTATAGTCCATAAAATTTAACTAGGGCCGTGTAAACGTAAACACCAAAGGGGGGAGGTGTATTGGTAGATCAGGAGGGGGG